GCTGGGCGGTGAAGAAAGCTGTCAGGAAGCATGCAACCTCAGTTTGACAGACTTCGATTTGCAAACATGACTGATTCTCGCAGTTTAAAAAAAAAAAAAGTATTTCTTTATTTTTCGCCCAGGATAAGCTCCGGCGCAATATTTTGCGTCATCACACAAAAGCAGTCGGAGCCGTTTCTGGCGCAAACCATCCGGTGACGTTTGGCTGGAGATTGGAGCTTGTTTTTCATCTTTGACACCAAACGCATATTCACGATGTTGACATTGAAGGAAAAAAAAAAAAAAAAACAACTCTTACCCTTCCTCAACTTGTGTTGCGGACGTGCTGGAGGCTTTCCCAGCCGCCTTTTGGGCGGTAGACGTTTGTTTGTATCGGTGCGGGTTATCAAAAAAAAAGTAGAGTGGTCGTCTACTTCTAAAATAGATCTGCATGCAGATGATCTTATTGCGCGAAACGACATGACAAAATGAAACTGGGCGAATTCAGCACAGTGTAGCTTCTTGTGTGCTTAGTTTGATGGACGGACAAAAGATGAACATCGGTAGGAGGGCGGAAAGGTCCAAGTAAGTTGTTACATCCCTAGTTTGGTATTTTGGTCAGTGAATGGACGGATCGGTCGATCCGGTCGATAGCAGCCTTCATCTTTCCTCGTCATGGTCAGGGTTGACCTTCGCAGCATCGAGCCTTTGTCCGGAGTGACGCGTCCCCGGTGTGTGTCCAGTTCGGAAAAACACGCAGACTTCCATTAGGACCTCGTTAGTGTTGTCGATGCGAATCAACGTGGACCTTTGCGCCGATCGATACACGTGAGAAAGGAGCTTCTCCTTGGGGACTTGTCAGGAACAGAAGTCTATGAAGACCACATTCCTCTCCCCGCTTGTGCTGCGCTCCGCTTTGAAAATGGAGAAGCTGAGGTAGCAAAAGTCCTTGACTTCACTGAAATAGAAGTGGAGATACTGTGGGGGGAAAAAAATGGCAACAGCGGAAGCACTGATTCAACTCCCACAAACTCAAACCATTCCCCCCCATTTACATGAATGGAAATGCCGTGAATCCGTTCCCGCCTCCCTCAAAAAACAACAAAAAAAAGGACCACGTGATTTTTTTTTTTTAAATGAGAAAAAAAATAGCAGTCGATAATACTTCATAAAACTTTTTGTATTGCTTTTTTTTGTCCTTTATTTAGTCATTTATTCCTCACAACTTTTTTGGTGTTTTCCATCCATTGAGCACGATGCCCGACGTGTTCTGCCGGTTCATTCGGTTACTTCTTTTTTTGCTCGCCATGATTGAATGTTGGCCAGGGGATTTCGTGTGCTTGATGTCAAAAAAAAAAAAAACAACCCAAAACAAAAAAGTTGAGAGTTCCTGCTGCAATCTATAATGGCTGCACCAAGCGGGCAGCGCTACGAATCTCAGGCGGACTTCCTATAGATCTCAATGCTGCTGTCAGTTCATTTATTGTGCCTTCATTACTCGTCGGAGGCCAATGCTGACGAGCTGCGAGAGAGCCTGTCTGGGCGGAGTCCGCGAGGTTGGGGTGGGGGGGGGGGGGGGGACGGGGTTGTGGTACCAGGGTGGCATCACTCTCTCGTTATGTGTGACAAATGAGTCCCAGACCTGCGCTAGGCTGTTTGAATTATGGAAGTGGCTGT